GGCGTAACTACGTAATAGTAATCCGTTACAAGTTAGTAGGTAGTTACAAATGCCTTACAACGGATGAAAAACGATTTTTTGGGCTGAGGAGTGTGTTGATGATATTAATCGCCAAGAACGAGTTGTGGAAGTTAATAGTTATGGATATTAGGTACCTACCTATATCGTATATAATATTAAATTACTTGTCACAGCTTGGTCATCATAATTCATAATATATAAACATGAACAGGATGTTCATAACCGGAATAAGTACATTTAAATGTCACGTGTAGTGCACTGCTAATGCATATAGGTACCTAATTATAATTAGTATTTAGCTCAACTATTTTAAGCCAACGTTAATTATCTAAATTCAAACAATGCGAGAGATAGATAACAATATGAGAAGAGTAGCTGACATGACCATAACTTTGAAACTATGCCGGCTACTTTTTATACTGATTCGGAAACAGTGTTGGAGAGTAACTTAACTTAACTTACAAGTTACTGTAACGAAATTATTTTTTAAGTAATTTGATGGTAATTTAATTACATTTTATTATAAGTAACTTATGTGTAATTTAAGTTACTTTTTTGTAGTAATTTTTACTAAATAACTAGTTACTTTTTTTGGGATTATTAAATTTTTTTGAACGTATTGATAATATTGTGTGTAGGTAAATATTAAAATATATCATAATATAACTTATAAGTATTATAATTTATAGGTGAAATTGTCTAAACTGTAATATTTTTGTTATAGCTATTGACTGTTCGACTATAAAGTGTTACTTTTAGAATGGAATTCTTATCTTTACTCTGTGTTGTATCGTCGAGGACGGCTCATACAGCATTGTTGGAACTATCAATAAATAGTAATAATAATAGTGTGGGAGACGAGGTGGCCGAGCGGACTAAGGCGTTGGTTGCAACGCGCACCGTCGCCGGTTCGAATCTCAGTCGTGGCTGAACTTCTCTTCGGCAGACACTTGTCTGGAGAGAGAGGCCGCCTCGATCGGATCCCTCGACCGGGCATGGCAGAAACCTACGGGTGCCCAATTTGAAATTCTGCCAAGCTAAAACACACGTGTTTACAAAAACCTACAATATCCTCCCCCACGGTTAAAAACCACTCAATTTCCTAAGTTGCTGAGGGTTAGTTAATAAAAAAAAATTAATTAATAAATAAATAAATGTGTGACTTGGCAATACGACTGATAATAACTTAAGCCCGCTGCTACTAGTTCCCGGATGGGTGACCACCCGGATTCGAAGTAGTAAATACCTAACACGTGTTTGCATAGATACCGTAACAAACGTAAAAATCGTAACAACGCCTTACCATACCAACATTACCAAACACAGTTCATAATCCCCTACAACAGCTAATGACCATAGTTGCCGGGCTTAAGTTCAATAAAAAAAATAATAATAACAGTGTTGCAAAAAGAGTATCATCTGTTAATAATTTCATATTTTTGATTGTCATTACCTATTTAGTTTATGTATTCTTATATTGACAACATGATTATTAAGCTCCAGTGATAAAATTTTTGAAAAAAAAAAAGTAACTTCTATTGTAATTCAGTTACTTTTTAAACTCAAAAGTAATGTAACTTAACCAAATTATAAAAAAGTAACTTAAAAATAATTTAGTTACAATTTTGATAAGTAATTAGTAATGTAATTTAATTACCAAAAATAAGTAACTTCCCCAACACTGTTCGGAAATGTAGTGTTATAGCGATGAATTTTAATAATATATTAATATCAATAATAATTCGTACCTACCTCACATTTACACACCTAACCTGAGAACGACTAATAACCTTTTACCAAATAATATTCAATGACAATAGGTTATGTGCCTAATTAAAAAAAAATCTGATTCAAAAAGTAATTTTAAATAGTACGACTGTGTCTGAAGGCATATTTTAATGTTTAAAGTAGTCTGTAGACAATTTTTCAAATGTAGATAATTTTTCAAATGTAGATAATTTTATAAATATAATAAAATAAAATACAGAAAAATACTAACATTTAATATTTTTATAAACTTATTTGAAATGTAGCCCGAACTAGTGAAAAATGGTTAGGTTTAAGCGGTGAATGCGGTCTAGGGGCCCCCAGTTGCCCGTTCCTGCCCTATATAGTTAAAATAATAAATACATCATCAATCAAAGAAGTTTTTTTGATGAGTCACTTAACGATTGAACAACAATAACCATATAATAATGCATGTTATATAAATTTATTTCTTAAAAAAAATCACAAAAAGTGTTAATCAAATATTTTGCAGTATTTAACGTACATAACGTATTTAGTCATTGCTAAATTGATGCCTGTGGTATGCCTGTATGTTATTTATAATATCACATATTATACTGCATACCATTATGCCATAACATTATTTTAAAAAAACCATCCTGTAGTCACTCTTGATTGTAATTCATCCTTGAAATAGGTACCTGAGTGATATGATGACTTTTGACTAGGTAATCCACAAAAAATACACTTACACACTATTGTAAAACAAATCCCTTATAGATCCACTCCAGTAACATTCCAAAAATAAGTTGAACTCATATAACACAATATAAAATAATACATCAATACAAAAATCAATTGTTTGATTCAAATATCAATGATAACAAACTCTTAAAAATAAATAACATAGGTACTTTTACCAAACCTATATAATTTATTTAAAATTAAAATAGTTTTATCCTAAATATATTCAACTTATTGAATGGTTTTATGTATATATAATATACAAAATTGTCTAAATGTTCTAATGACATCATAAGAAATAATAACTGATCAATTTTTTACATCGAAATAAGTAAACATTTGTTTTTAAAAAACTTTTAGTTTTTAAAATTAAAATGTGTAAACAATTCAATGTAATCTTAAAGAAAGCAAATAAAACTAATTTGAATAGTTTCAAATAGGAGTAAATATTTATAAGTAGCTAATATTTATTATTTATATGTACAAGTGAAAAATTATTTTTAAAATTTTCTGTTTATTATATACAACCGCTTTATTTCAACTTAATATTTAATGTTGCTTATAAATATAAAAAAAATTTTCAAAACGTACTATATTATTATATGGTATATAATTTGAATAGTAATATTTTATACTTGCAATGCTACGTAAAATTTTAGACACAAATATTTTAAATACACTAGAAAATAATTAGTAATTATATTTAAACAATAAATTAATTATATAATTATGTTTAAAACTATAAACATAAACTGCTACCAGGACTGGATTGGTTAGGCGAACTAAAGAGAAAATGTCGGTGGGCCGCTTAAAGTTTGGGCCGCTCGTAATAATTATAGAAGTAATTTTGGGCCACTAAATATGTAAATGGGCCTAAAGTGAAAATCTCGATGGGTCGATTGCATACCAATCCGGCCCTGACTGCTACTATCATTATTTTCAATTATCTCAGTATTTATTCAAACTATTCTATTAGCCATTAAGTATATATTTATAATAACTTTTAACAGATTTAAAGTAATAATTACTGTAAGAACTTATCATTAACAGCTAGTATCTGAACTTAAATTGAACAAATTTATAACAATAATGTTGTTAATACTATTAAAATTATCTGAATATAACATATTTAAACTTGTATACAATTAACAAATTTAGTAGTATTATTTAAAGAAACACATAAGAAGATATATATGAGTATTGAATAAATTAGAAAATAGGAATATATTATTATATTTATATTCAGCGAAATTAACCATGAAGTGTAAAATTATATTATACAAGCATAGTAAGAGATTTGTGTTACATAAAATTGTAATTGTTTATAACTTATAAGGAATAGAGAACACAATATAACAATTAAGAATATTTAATTATAATAAGGTAAATATCAGATACAACATGTATGGTAATTATTATATTTTTCAATATTCTATTAAATATTTACTGACACTATATTTATCTCCCATATATTTTGCTGGTCATTTTCATTTTACTAAAAACTGCACTTGAGTAAATATTTTTTTTTAAAGATTTATTATTGAATTATAATATTAAGTAACCAATTATTATATATACATATATCTAAATAAATAAGAAATTTTTAAAAAACATAATACATAAAAATAAGAATATATATAAATATTAGATAGGTTTTAAATATAATAAAAATAAACTAATTTTTAAATTTAGAAGAGGATGAAATTACTAACACAAAATCTCTGTAACTACTTAATGTCTTCAGACACAAAGTTTTGGATCATAAAAATGTTAATATTATAATTGTAGTGGTCTTCAGTTCTAAATTTATACTAGTATATGATCTAAGGACTAAGTAAATAGGTACCCACAAAAAAAAACTAATTTAAATTTAAGCTTTTCTGAATTAGGTAAAAATTGCTAATTTCTTTTTAAAAAAGTATCATCTTATCCACTTATTTTATTATTATAGCTGTATATTATGTACAATATTTGTATATATAATAATTAGTGTTTAAAATTATAATTTAAGAACTAAGATTCATTGTTAACTGATTTTAAATAAATGCTATTTAGTGCATTAATAAATTTAATATTCATGATTCAATATAGAATAATAAATAATTTATTCAGTGTTTTTATACTAAAATATGAAAAGATTAATTTATAAAAAGATTAGGTGTGAAATAGTTTATCCCTATATATAATTAAAATTACTTTAAGATTATCTAGCATATTTTTCAAACATTAAATTATATTTTTCTGAACTTTATATATAAGTTTAAACTCTTTTTGTGAATCATAAGTAATAAGATGACAAATAGAAGGATTAAATTATTTACAAACACTAATACATTTAATTTTAAACTGGTTCATTGATATCAATATACTGTAGAATTAGTTATAAGTTTTATATAACACAAAATATATAAGGATTGAACATGTCTTACTACCCTTTCACCTCACCTCATTTCCTCACAGGCCAATATATTACCCTATGTCAATGTCTTTATTATTTTTCAGTCTTTTTAACATATTACCTTTGTACTAGGTCTATTTGCTTTATAATATTCAATTTCTGCTGAAGTGCAACATGATCCAGTAATGTCTAACGATTTCAGGTATGGACAAGTTCTGACAGCAGTTTTCAAAAATGCATCGGTTACTTTTGGATAGTTGCGGACATATAAGGTTTCGATACTGCATCTATCAACATTATCATTCCTATTTAAAAATAAATGTAGCATATAACATAATAAACCTAATATTCATTCAACAGTAGGTAATATATGTCTTGATTTATAACTTAATTAGTCTAAACTATTGAAATGAGTTGTAAACCAAAGCATGCATTTAAGTGGAATCAAATCCAATGACTTAGATATAATATTTAATTTAAAAACTTACTATTACAATGAAAAATTACCTAATATACATTTTTTTGGTGTTAAACAGCCAATATTACAATTTTTTGTAACAGTATAATAGTCTACTATTAATTAATGATTAAAATAAAATATTTTTATGTTAAATTGTATTTAATTTTTTTAATTAATTAATTAGTTTAATTTTTATAACAAATAGCAATTAAAGAAAAGAATATTGTATAGAAATACATAAATTTAAAGTAAAAATATGAATGAGCTTTTATGTACAAATGTTTGTATTATAATTATTTATTATTAATTTTAGTTACCTTTCATGAACTCTTCTTAAGTTCACTCCACCACGTCTATCAATCAAAATTTGTATGTATGGATAGTGGAATTCAAAGGTAGCAGTACAGAATCCTGCCAAACCCAAATCAGTAATTGTTGCATCTCTCTCGTGGTTCATATATTCAGGGCTTTCCAAAAGAACATTTTTCAAAGTGGTTAATCTTTGAAAGCAAACAAGTTCATGATCACTTACTGGAGTAAAACGCAAATCAAGTGTCTAAAAATAATAGAAATATTTATTGGTAAATTAAATAATAGGTAAAGAAATGTACAGTATTGTTTTATTAAACCCAATAATATATTATAGTAAACCAGTGGCGCCTCGTCAGGGGAGGCAAGTGAGGCTCAGCCTCACCTAACTATTGTACATAAAAAGGAGGTATATACTATAATAATTAAAGTTATTTCCAATTGAATTTAAGAATATTATATTCAATAATATGTACATTTTAAAATAGAAAAACTTTTTGTTATTATATATTATTATCATGACAAAAGAAATTTATTTTGTTATGTATAATATTAATTATCATTATAGTATATAATAAATACTTTGTCACTGTTATCAAAAATCATGACAAAAGTGTTCAAGGAACGACCTCGACAAAAGCCGAAGAGTGCCGAGAGGCTAGTAATACTTAGCCTCAGACTAGTCAGACAGCCGTACGATTATAAAATATATAACGGTAGTGAGGGAAGTCAGAATTGTACTTTGAAATGAGGCTGAACGATTTGGGCCTCTGAGTTTTGTCAATATTATTCACTAGTTGAAGCGACATAATTTCCACTAATAAAAATAGAAACGGAGAGGTTGTCATAATGTTGTGTAGTGTAAGTGTATACCTACCCATAATATTTTTATCATAAACTAAAGATATTGGTTCTTATTAAACAAATAACAATGAACATAATAATATTATTAATATTACCTATTATCATAGGCGTGCACACGGGGGGTGCAGGGTATGCAACTGCACCCCCAGCGAGTTCATTTTAGAAATAGATTGATAGATAAATAATATTTTTTAAGTTTATAATTTTTTTCAAGCCCGCGGTCACACGTGAGTGTAGCAGCAGGCTGGTATGTACGATACACGGTTAAAATCGTTTTCTGTTATCGCGGCTCGATTGTCGATAGTTAGGTATCGTAAAATTGGCTACACCAAAAGTTATTTATAACTTCTGAAATGCTATTATTAATTGTGATAACTGATAATAAAACACATTAGTGACTGTTGTTAATTTATACATTTTATTGATTTAATATATTAATTATAAAGAAGTTTCAGAAATCAATCCAGAAGATGTAATTGATGAATTCAAGTCTATGTACCCAGGTACACGTCGTCTTGAATTATAATTTATAAAATTATTGACTTCTAAGAGAAATTAAATTATTAAAAAAATAATTATTAATTTTTTTTTTTTTTTATTAATCCTGGCCCGACTTGTTACATGGCTAGGTAACATACTAAAATTTTCAATTTGTACTGTGCACCCTCAGCAAAAATATCCTGCGCACGCCTATGCCTATTATTATTATTATTATTCAATTTTCAATTTTGTACTTGTACTATAGTAGAACTGTTGGAGTATTCAATAATTTATGGTTTTATTACAATTACATATTGTTGTAATATCTGCCTCACTCCTCATACTGTTCAAGAGCCACCACTGTAGTAAACAATAGAATTAACAGCCTTGTAACTGGTAACTCATATTATTACTTTCAATTCATTTTTAAAAAGCACTCAACACCCAGATAGTTAATAACTTATTAATAATAATTAATAACTAATAAATGTATACTAATATTTGGAATTTTCACAAAAAAAATTATAGTAAACATGTAGTCACCACATTCCTATCACTTTTAATATAGTCTGAGTTATCGTTGTTAAAAAAATAACATCTACTTTTAGAAATTTGTTATACTTCAATTTGCATTGCTAACCTGTAAAGATTTGAATCCAGTGATAGCAGTAATACTTGCATATGGAATACAGTCCTTAAACTGTTTGCAACCTGCGAGACTTAAGTAGTGTAAACGTTCCAGCTTGGCCAATGCATACAAACAATTAGGCAAAAACCAATCATTGTTTGTCATTATAATACGCTATACAAGTACAAACAATTATTATAAAAATGACGATGTGTAATCAAAATAAATATTTCTAAAATCACTTGGTTTTAAATGTATTAAGTATACAAAAATAAAACAAATTTACCTCTAGATCTGGGCAAGCATTGTTTATACCACATAAATAAGAAGAGCTGTCTGGAATGTTTTCAATAGTTGTATTATCAATGGTCAGCGTTTTTAGTTTTCGATGCAAAATCTTTACACTTATCTACACATAAAATGTACTTATTAGTAGGTAGTAATTCAATTAAAATACTCAAGACAGAAACTGAAGAAAGATTATTCTTACTTCACCGGCATCAAATACTTGATTTGTTAATGTTAAATGGAGTAATTCTGGGCATTTTGTTTCTAATTGTATTAAAAATTTGTGAGAAACTGAATTATCAGAGCTTGGAACATCATTACACGATATATACAATTCAGTGGTATCCTCTTTTAAATAACTCAAGTATACATCTTCCATCGATTTTTCATAGTTTTCGAATCTTGGTTTTTTCCATAGAGTCCAATCATGACTAACTCTTAACAAGTTAGGGCATATCCTATAAAACCAAAGGCAAAATTATTAATTAACTCAAGTTGCTTAAAATAATTTTGAAGTTTGTACACTCACAGTGCCATTTTGGCAAGATTATCATGTGATAGATATTTAAATAAATACATGATAACATCATCGGATAAATCTTGGAAACCAACAATTTCCTTAGAGGATTTAGGACTTGATATCGTTGTTGTGACCTCAGACGCTTTAGGTTTCTTTGTTTCTGCGTGCGAATATTCACAGCCATCTTCTAATGGTCTCTTGTTACTGTTTTCCATGTTACGGGATGTTCAAATCACTTACGACTTCGACAAGAGATGAGTAACCTAAATAAGTTTGGACCGATCATGACATGAAAAATTATAACACAATAGGTGTATATTATACACATTTATACATGGTTACAACAATGGTCGATGGACACCAAAATCGTACACATCACATTACTCACCCGCTACGGTTAAGAGTTGGTGAGGTGTGCCACTCGGGTTTCAATCAAAATAATAGGTAGGTACATGAGAACAAGACCGGACGTCGGGACGTGTGAAGTGAATATTTGGGGTTTGTGAACTTCGATGGATCGTCAGCCGACGACGAACAGTAAAATAATAATAATATCGCACCGGACACGTCTTACGGAACAGTGTATGAGATATGATATAAATTGTATACTAGTACCTATGCAAATGATCGCGATCGCTTAACGTCTGTCGCTACTCGGGCTGCAGCAGGGATCATTCTTCCATCTTCTGTAATATTAAAGATAATAATATTATTATTTATTATCAAGATTCAAGATGACGACAGACTCGATGTTTCGACTTAATGAACGCGATTGTAAATTATAATATTGCTGATGCTCGATACTCTTCGGTGATAATTTCCAGTCATTGATAATTATTGTTATTTTAATATTATTGTTCAGCAGAACATACAAAATACGTAAAATGTATTCACGATAATAATATTATGTTTAATTTTTTATGACGCACATCGTTGACCAATGACCAGGAATGGTTGTCAACTCTCAACAACCACAACCGCAATCATAAATGAGATAAGTAAATACATGATACAATGATATATATCATGAACATTAGAGGAATGTTCTAACTTCTAATGTTCATGATATATATATATATGCAATGATATGAATAATTTCAAATTTCAATGACTCTTGTAGAATACTACTTACTAGCCACTAGGATCTTTATTCTTTGCCCTGTGGTAAGGTCTATAGCACTATATTATCTAGTTTACATCATAGAACAATAGGTCTTATGGTTTATTAGTTTATAGGTCAATCGTCTATGTCCTAATGCCTATACGAACAACAATGTATATGTATCTCGTCAGTCTTCGCCCGTCGGTCGGTTTTTGTCGCCCGACACCCGGTCTGCACTGTACCCAGAATCTAGACATTTCAGATGACGGATTTTAAACAATTATAATAATTATGTTTGTTTAAAATCTCCGACAGTACATTGTACATCCACAGAAGAAATTACATAACTATTACAATTTTATTATTAAAAAAAAACGTTTCCAAATAAATATTAAAATAAAAATTACAGTTTTGCACAGAAATTATAAATTCACAAAACAATTTGGGCGTATCAATAGGCCAGCAATCCAAAGCCTAGCAAATATCTATATAATGTAATATGTTAATCCAACTCATAGGCCATAGCCCATAGGCATAGTCGTATTCTGAAATTTATAATATAAAATATAAAATATGTAATATTTATGTGCTATAAAATATGTTTTTCCTCCCACCCCCTCTTTAAAAAAAATATATTACCTACACTAGATAATGTGTTTTTTTTAATTGTAATAGGTGAAGTACTGAACTTGAACTATGCTTCATGAAACAGTAGAAGGTAGAACACTTTTAATCACTTTTATAAGGCTTGCCTTCCAAAACTGTTACTACCGGCTATACACCTATACTATAATAACGCGTTTACCATCGCAGCTAGAAACTTAACTCTTTTGGATTTAGGACTTTGCATTCAAAAGAGATTAAATAAAAGCTAGTTGAAAAGACAATACAGGTCACAGTTTATACAATATTTTTATTATAAATTTATTACCCACAAATTACAAAACATTAAATTTACATTGGTTTTTTGCTAGCTTTAAGGAACTTTTCTCATTGACATTGATTATTAATCATTATCCCGGTACGGAATAATATGAGGATATTTTTATATCAGATTTACTGACTAATTTATAGGAAATTTCATCTATTCTGTGGATATATCAACCTTGGACTATCCCTATCATTTCTTTTTTTGTTTATTGAATATTTGAAAATATCATTATAAAACTTACGGACCTGAGCCTGAGATAATATCTAATTGTTAACTATTTATATCTTATTTACCACCACAGATATATAAAAAATATCATTAAACAATTAATATAATTGATATACCTTTATACAAATATAATAATTTATGATATGTTTAATCATGTAAAACAGGTAGTCAATCTCTATTGATGAATATATAATAATATAATATTTTATATTACTAATATATAGTATAAGTCTAAACAGTACTTTACGATACACAACTATGACTATATTATGTTAATTAGTAAACTGTTAAACACTATTGGTTAATTCAATAATAATTTTCTTCACACACCACGTTTACTTAAGTGTAATTTATGTTTTTACAATATTCATGATCAACATCTCAAAAGAGTAATAATATTTTGGTATATATAATAAATAATAATGTATATAGCACTTAATATTTTATAAGAATTTTGCGTACCACGGCCGTAATATAAAACAGTATTTATATAAGTTTTAATATTGTATAATATATTAAACAATACATATTATATACCACAAAACAGTTTACATACATATTAGTCACTAAACATTATAAAAGTAATGAATAAAATTTTAAAAAATTTCAGAATCTGTGGAACATTTTTAATATAGGCCATTATGGTTTAAGTGTTAAACTGTGTCATTATTATTATTATATTTAAATTTAAACTATTTATTGTAAATCTATATATTAAATATTATAATTATGTATATTTTACACTGTATGCCTGTACCATACTGTATATTTAAAATAAAATTGGAATTATATTCCGTTAGGTATATAAAGTTTATTAATTTATTATTATTAATATTAATATATTATTTGTTTTAGAAAAATTGACAAGCAAAGTTCTTTGAACAATTATGAATTGGAATATTCAAATTGTACCAATTAGTAATTTAGTTATTTGTTGTATTAATCATATTTTAAGTTAAATATAAATTCTTATGTAATTATATTTATTACAATAATTAGATAGAAAATACATTTATTATAAACTACAAAGGTACAAATTAACTTAATTTAAATTTATAAAATTTTTATAAACAATAGTTTGATTCTTACAATCTTAACAATAATTTAATGTTTCATTCCTCGCAAACATAATTAATTTCAAAAATGATAAAATTATTATTAAAATTAATCATTATTCAGTTGTGTAATTTCATCTATCTGAAACTGGTAATGACGAAATATATATATGAACAGAAGAAAACATAATTGAGTAGTCCATGTTATACACTGATATCCTAGTTTATCTGGAACTTGAAAACCCTCTTTTGCTGACTATAAGAAACAAAAAAATACATTTCATTGTAATTCTTGTAAACATATATTTTTAAGTAACTGTAACATAGGTATTGCAAATTAAGTGTTATTTATTTATTATGATACCGTTTTGGAGGGTTAACAGTTATTTAACTAACATAGTAAACATATGTGTGTAGTTTGTATAATGTATTATGTGCCAAGTTGAGGTAATTTCTGATCTATAGACTTTGACGATACTGGATGAAACTTTGGGATGTGATTTTTAATAAATTGATGTTATAATAAGCTATTAAATGTTTATTAAAATACAACTTGTAACAGGTGTCGGGTTCTTGGTATTAGGCTTAAATAATAATATCAGTTCAAGTTCATATATATAATTCAGAGGCAATTTATTAACAAAGATTTGAATTTTTAGGTACAATAAATAATTTATGCATGATGTACTTACGGTATCAGTTAAAGAAGAAATATAAGTATTAAGTAGGTATTTTAGGTATCTATTTTAGATTCTGTTTGTATTGATTTTACAATGATGTAATATTTTATTTTATTTTTGTGTCATCACATTTTGGTGCAGTAAAAATGCCTAACAGCTTTTCTACTTCAACATTAAAAAGAATCTAGTTAGTACTTTGGAGGATCAAAAGTAAAAAATTCCCAGAACTTTTCAAAAACATCAAGAAAAATAAACCAACAATTAAGGAAAAACTAAGATTTTTATGCAAAACCATTATTAGAAAAAATCAATTTTGTGATTTGGTGTAACTCTAAAAAATAAACTTAAATACATTAAAATGTTCAAAATATTTTGGAATTTTTTTAATCTATTTAATATTAATAAACATAAGAAAATGTTGTCGTAATATAAAAGCAAATCTATGGTAGGTTGTTATGGTACTTACAATCTATGAGTATAGTACCTACAAAGTTATAATTTGTAATCATATTATATCATCATTAATAATGTATCAATAATATTCTATCCTTTGGTAATATTGATATTTATACATTATTATAGGCATGTAAGTATAAACATACTTAGTACAGTGAAACCTCTCTTAACGGACACCTCTAATTAGCGGACACCTCTCAATAACGGACAAAATTTCCGGTCCCGGCAAAGTCCCGTTAAAAATAATAGATAATGCTCCTCTAAATAGCGGACACCTCTGAATAACGGACGCGGACAGGTTAGGTAGTCCGAAGTGTTTAAATATATCTAAATAACGGACAGCTGTCCAAGAAATACAAACTTATTGTGTAGGTATACAATACAATATGTACCGATATTTTACCGATAAAGACATTTATCTAAATCGTAATTTAATGAATACGATAAGGTATGAAAAATTACAAAATTAAATAAGAACCTATACGAACGATAGTGATGTTATGACTTAGGTACTGATATCAATAGCATTGTCCGTTAGTATCGTAAAGGTGAGAACTGCAGTGGTGGAAAAATAAGTAAAGAACGAATTACAGTTATGTTGTGTGTTAATATGGAAGGCGATTTTGAAACACTTTTTCTGATTGGAAAGGCGTTAAAACCCCTTTGTTTTAAGAACATAATCGTCAACGATCTTGGAGTAACGTGGAAGGCTAATCGTAAAGCTTGGATGACACAAGAATTAATGAAAGAATGGTTATCGAATTTCGATAGAAAAATGCAAGGCAAATCAAAGAAGCATTACAGTTAGCGAATAAACTGAAGACGTTTTGTCTCAATAAGAGTGATGCAGTTTCATTGTCACTAGTTAATCAACTCCAGTCTAATTTTGAGGCAATTGCAATACAAGAAAAAAAACAAACTAAAATTTCGGATTTTTTTTTCAATAAGTAATTTTGTATAACATATTTTATTACGTCTAATTATAATAAATTATGTAATGATAAATAAATGTTTAAAAAGTCAATAAAATTTAAATTTTCAGACATTAATACATACATATTATTTTATCAATTTTTCCCAATAGCGGACACCTCTCAATAGCGGACAATTTGGTCGGTCCCGTGAGTGTCCGCTATTCAGAGGTTTTACTGTATATGTAATTCATTGTTTACATAATTTTATACTTGATAGTTAATAGTATAATAATATAAACAATTTGATAGATACTCTTATTCGGTATTACAGTATAAAATTGAAAATTATTATCTCAAATTTTTCTTTTTATCATTTGTTTTTATGATGCTCCCTAAATTGATGGGTGCCCCCGAGCACTTGTCCCCTTTGCCTCCCCCACCTTAGTACGACTATGATTATATTGTAAATAAAAAATTTAGTATTAAGGTATACAACTTTTGTTCCTAAATTAAATATTATGTTTACAATTTTCACATAATTGCACACTTCAATAGAATTTTATTTAGTATTTTGTGTCATAAAGTTACCAGCAATGTCCCAAAATGAATCACATCCAATTGTCAGAACACTGAATTTCCAAACTTGTTATGTGTCCTTTGAAATTTAAATATGTTCAGATGCTCCGTACTATTAAAATTGGATACTGGTTCCGCAATATATTACCTATAAATTAAAAGTTTGTTAAAAATATCAAATATGTCAGTGAACTATTTGTTTTCTCTCTGACCTATGAGTAACATTACTAATTTGTGTAGAGCAGATCCAATTTTGTAATGTTAGCTTTAATAAACATAAAGTAAAAATATTTTCTTAAGGTATATTTCCTTATATTTTATTTTTAAAGCAAGTTATGGGTATTTTAAGTACCTAATATAATTAATTTAACATAGTTATTTATTAATTATTTCGAGCTAACTGGCTGAGCCCTTTGGACACAAATATAATTCTACACACACAATTAGATATATTATAATATAACTATTGAATATAATGATATCAGACAATATAATGTAGTCATAGCACCATACAGATAACTCACTATTAAATTAATAAATCAATAAAATCCCATGAGGTGCCCACAATAATATTCTTACCTTTAAGTTTTCGTATTCAGGTTAATATTAATTATTAATGTTTTTACAACTTAGATACTTGAATAATTGCAATATTTATAATGTATACTTGCCACTTGGCCTGTAGAAATGTCTTAAAGAAAATCAAATTCTCAAAAATGTTCAATAAATTGGCTTGACTTCCTAGTTCCTCGTAGGTACCTACATCATATTATTATATTTCAGTTTTGAAAACCATGATATAATACAATGTGAATCGTGTATTTGTGAGAACTAAACACAGTAATAGTAACAGTAAATCATTAAGTTACTTTCAGCAAATATTTAAAATTTTAGTGAACTCAGACAACTACTTACTTACGTGTGTCGTGTTTGAACTATTCAACTATGAGACGCGAGTTAGACAATAGAGTATAGACCATGGCTATAGACATTACAAAATGTCTGTAAACCAAAAAGTCTAAAACTACAAACCATGATTTAAGATAAATAAGTATTATCTTAAATCATGCTACAAACTAATCAGTTATTATTGACCTAGCTAGACATTGATAAGAATCGGTACGATGTGTTGCCTATACAAGTCCCTAACATAATATGGTAATCGGAAAAGAAGTAGGTACCTATACCTATAAAAAAAATACAGAAATCGTTTGAGTGATGTGCATTTTGACGATTTACTGCGGTTGTCAACATCAAATACAACCGTAGGGCTGCATATAGTATGCACGCGGTCTACCGGTGAATTTACGAATATAGTATGCGGTTTGCCGCAAATAAATAAATTATCAATTATATCATAATATTATAGTATAATAATTGTTGTCAAAAATGATGAATATTGTGCATTATTGTGCATTATCTTAAATAATTAAAAAAAAAAAAATAAATAAAAATTTTGTTTGTCAAAATTATTGTTGTCTATGAAAAAAATATATAATAATAATAATAATTTATAAAAAAAAATGTGTTGTTCATACCTATTACAAAAACTTCAGCCATATCTCTCAAAAATGCATTAAATAAAATTTGTTTGCAAATAAATGTTGTCCACATATTATTAAGTCACTTAATTTAAGTGCATAAATTGTGGTGTGTTGGTTAAATGAGGTTACGTGACATACTGCAGAGCTATTGAGCCCATACTTTTACAAAATGTTGAAGTATTGTTATCAGTGTCTGAGCCGTGTCAAGCAATTCAGAGCCCCGGGGCAATTCGCGCCCCCTTCCCTTCAATATACGGGCCCCGGGTAGCATATTAAGCGCAAATAAAGGAGCCCCCTTACTTTTTCAAAACTATGTCCCCACCCCCTTAACACGGCTCTAATCTGTGTACAAGGCCATAAAGATAAAGTGTTCACCGAAGAAAAAGATTGTAACTGTATCTCATAAAAATAAACTTATGCCGGTCTAAGGAAACCCAGGACGCCACAGAGCGCCTTATGTATACCACGTTCTCATTGGCCCATTTCAAATTGCCCGCTTTTTTTTTTTATCATATTATATCAAATAATTTAATTTAATTTAATAATATAATATTAATTTAAATATTATATTATATTATTTAATTTAAACAAATTAAAATAACTATTTAGTAGGAAAAGGTACCTAACTAATATTAAACAATATTATTATGTTATTATAATTCAATGAATGTAATGAATAATGTAGAATGTGATCTCTACACAGTTATTTTTATTTTTTACTTTAGTAGGTACCTACCTACCTACCTATACCTACCTCAGAGTGAACATTTCTTACTGGACTAAGTGTATTGTACTTGTACACACCTTTTGTGTTAGCTAAAAAGATTGTCTAGGTTCTTCCTAACATAGAAACAAAATACCAATCTTACTTAAATGTTTTATTTTTACTAAAACATAAGATTCTTAATTAAAATAGGAAGGTACCTACCTTACTAAAATGTCATGCTCTAACATTAATATATGTATTGTATTTTTAATAAAGACATAACTATTTTTAGAGGAACGAATTGAACTAGTGTTCAATGATTATTTTAATAATATATGGAATGGTAGCTACTATGAAGCTAACGGTTTAAAAATCCAATTAAAGAAATTGTTGTAACTTCACATGAATGGTGCAAAAACAATTTTGGACGTCTAATTTGGTAGTCTAGTTCATCGATGACTGAAAAGCCCTGTTATTATTTTCAATTTTATATTTGTAGGTACACTACATTACTACCTACATCAGCAGTGGTTTATAAATAATATTTTTTTACACATTTATAATTTAACTAATTCAACCTTTTTAAAATGTTATGCAAGTATTAAGTAAACAAAATATATTAAGGTAGGTAAAAAATAATACATACATGTCTACCCACATAGTCAGAGGTAGGTAGGGGTTACACGATCATTGAAAGTATATAAATATCAGACGAAAAAAAAAAATTGTACTAACATTTAAAACTGTGAACCTATTTTAAAGTATTTTTTTTACTATGATGACCACCTCGCATGTTAAAATGCTGTCAGTTGGGCTCTGAATGTGATTTAATTGTCCTGAATGTACAACATGACTCCCTAAATAACAAAAATTTACTAACAAAATTCAAAAATTTGACCTACCCGATAATACTTTATAGGTGTTACAAGTTCCTATATAGATTATAATGACAATTTATTATTATAAAATATACTATTCAATTTTATTATAATTTGATGAGGTAACAATTTTGAACTCAGATTTACCAATTATTTTAGCAAACGATTAAACAATTTGTTATTATATTACATTAAATTTTGTTTATTTTATGATGTAGGGAAGTTTATCTTCTACTAAGTTTATTATAAATTATAATCTAAATATATCAAACTGATAACAGTAGGTATACCTAGTCACAAATAATAATATAATTTAATGTAATTCCAGTATGAACTTCATAATGAAGTCATAAAATATTAATTGGAATGAAAAAAAACTATGTAAAAACAATGAAAAATACATGTTACTTATAAGTTATATGTTCAGTGACCTCTACCATGGGATTTTGCATTTGATTGTCCTAAATTAATGTTTTTTCATATTCAACATATTTTAAAGTATTTTTTTTTTACTATGATGACCATGCGAGGCGCATGTTAAATTTCTGTCTATGCACAGTATTTAGAGGTGAAAAAGCTGGGAACAATCGCTGCAGGTACCACATGGCACATCAGTAATTGAGCTCTGAATATACAGCATGACTTCCTAATATCAAAAATTTAAACAGAAGTTTATCTTATTTACATCTTGGTACCTACTTCGTTTATTAATTATTAATTAATTGATGTCGCCACTAAAATATATGTAGATATAGCTCCTAAATTATAATCTAAATTTATCAAACCGATAATAGTATAATCACATGGTTTATTTATTGACTACCAGACTACCTACCAGCTATTATTAATTTGTCAACAGGAATATTAAATTGATTTATCAATTGATTCTTGGTAAAGAATTACGAAATTCTCAACTTCATTAACATTATTAATATTGGCTCTAAGAAAACAACACAAACAACTAAAAAATCGTTGCCATGTACGTGAATGTTTCAAAAATCTACAATTCATATCTGTGTCACATAGTTACCACTTGTCAATATTCATTTCTTGTGTTCATTACGAATAAATTTAATTTCTACGTATTTCTGTATAATCTTCTCCGTTAATTCTGCCTATATAATATTATCAAATAAATATGTCATATAGATGTGTATCTATGCCTAACATGGCCGCGATGTGTGAAAATT